TAATGAAACAGGGATTATTCTACAAAACACATCTGAGAGTGGGTTGTGAATGCTCAAACAAAAATGAGGGACATTAATAAGGTGGAATGGGGTGTATTGAGGGGTGTCTTCAAGATGGGTGATCTAGATGTGTATCCTCACTTTCTGTCAGGTAATAGTACAAGCCAGCTCTATGTGTTTGAAGTTGAGATTTGCTGCCTTCCAAAACTGCTCTTTCCTTGGGGTGGAAGAAACACAATTTACAGGTAAAAACCACAGGTCTCAGCCCAGATTCACAGGCTATTATTAAAGTATTATAGAAAGCTAAGTTAGGTCAAAATACTATACGCAGTCAGACAGGGCTAAGAGCACAAAGGGATCAGTACAGAAGATAAAAGCACATTACAGCAATGGCTTCAGGTGCATTCATTGAAGGCCAGGCCTTAAGATAAAGACAGAATGCCTACATACATCCTCAAGGGATAGGCAATATACTATGATTAATATTACCTGTTCCAATAAGTCTAGATAAGCATCAGTCACCTGGGTGAGTGACCAGGACCTGCTGGACTCTTCTTTTCCAAAACACGTCCTTGTTCTTTCCCTGTACACCTGCTACATGGCTTGCTTCCCCTTTGAATCAAAATTACCTTAGTGGCTATACTTTGCTGTTGTTGTTTTTTGGTCCTGGGGTTCTAATTTAGGACCTTGCACTTGTGAGGCAAGAGGTGGCACCACTGAGCTAAATCCCCCGCCAAGTGGCTATACTTTTAATCCTATTGGTTGATCATAGTTTTGTCCCACGTTATACCTACCTTGTGATTTTTGTACCCCCTTGTGATTCTTCTCTATAAAACTTCCTTTGAGAAATGGGCTCACTGGCAACCCATTTTCCAGATCCCCTGCTCTCTCTCTCAGGAGCTACCTTTCTCAATAAATACTTCCTTCTCTTAACCTCCATTGTTCTTCAGAATTCATTGCTTAATTTTGGGAACACAAACTTGGCATATCGGACATTTAACAGGTTGAGAGTTATATTATTTCTCCTATATCATTTGGAGGTCCTGTATCAAAAGGACTATTAGGATTTTTTTTGCATTATCAATTATTCATTTTAATCATTGGTACATTTTAGGTGTACAATATAATGACATTCATCATGGGAAATTTGCACCTTTACATAGTCTCTCTTGGTTCTTATTTTTCACCCTTGCCCAGCCCTCCCTGCAACCCCTCCAGTCCTCCCTATTTACAAAGACTTTGTTTCCACTTTTCCATTTTCTGATATTAATTCCATTCCCTTCTTTCCTTTCCCCTACCCCTCCCACTTCCTTCCCCTTTCCCCCTTTTCTTCCCATTTCATACTATCCATTATACCTTTTAGTCTTTATTTACCCTTTCAGTTTTTCACACTAGAGAAACTATTCCATATTTACACATGTGTGTCCTATTTATTTCACTTGAGTATTGCCTCAATGTGCATCCACTTAGCTATAAATGTCTCTAATTTCTCATTCTTTATGGCTGAGTAGTACTACATCTTATAAAAAAAAACACATTTTCTTTATCCAGTCTTCAGTTGATGGGCATCTGGGCTACTTCCAAGCTTTAGCTATTACAAGCTGTGCTGCTATGAACATGGGTGCACATATATCACTGTGGTATGATTCTTTTAATTCTTTGGGGAAGATCCCCAGCAAGGGAATAGCTGGGTCAAGTGGGACTTCCAGTCCTAGTTCTTTGAGGTATCTCCATACTGATTTCCACAGTGGTTGCACCAGTCTACACTCCCACCAGCAGTGGAGCAGGGTTCCTCTTTCCCCACAGCCCTGCCAGCATTTGTTATTGGTTGATTTCATGATAGCAGCCATTCTTTCTGGGGTGAGGTGGAATCTCAGCGTTGTTTTCATTTGCATCTCTCGAATGACCAGTGATGTTGAACATTTTTGCATGTATTTATTTGCTATTTCTACTTCTTTGTCTGAGAAATGTCTGTTCATTTCAGATGCCCATTTTTGGATTGGGTCATTAAATGTGGGAGGTCTGATCTTTTTAAGTTCTTCATAGATTCGAGATAGTAGGCCTTTGTCTGAGAGACAGCAGGTGAAGATATTTTCCCACATTTTGAATTGTCTCTTCACACTGCTGGTGGTTTCTCTTGCTGTACAGAAGCTTTTTAATAAGAAGAGATCCCACTTATTGATTGTTTGGGCTAGTTCACGGGCAACTGAGGTTTTATTCATAAAATCTTTTCCTACACCAATGTCTTCAAGAGTTCTATCTAAGTTCTGTTCCAGCTGGATCAGCATTTCTATTTCAATATTTATATCTTTAATCCATTTCAATTTTAGTTTAGTGCATGGCAAGAAATATAGGTCTAGTTTTAATTTTTGCCAAGTTGAATCCCAAGTTTTCCGGCACCATTTATTAAAGAGGCTATTTTAGGAATTTTTTTGAGTGAGTTTCCGAGAAGGGAAAAACTTGAGTAACTTTTGTGTTTTTAGGCTGCAGGAATTTTTTTTTCCTTAATTTCTGAATCTCCATTTCCTCGCCTCCTTTCTATGTAGTGTTCACTTCTTCTGTCTCTCGCTCCCTCACCACCAGTATTTTCTGTGATGACAACACCATGAAGGCTGGTACACACTAACAAAAACTGGCCTAAATGACTGTTTAATGAGGCAGATTCTCCACTATCACCACACATGAGAGTCCTGCCCTCCCTTTCTCGGTTATAGCTGGCCAGGATTCCTGTGGTTGGGCTCTTTTTGGAAACTGACTGGCCTTTAGGCATTTCCTGAAGCCTTGGAATGGGAGGTGTCCATAGGCAATTGGTGAGCAGCACACTGTGGGGGGCTGTTTCCTGCTGACCATGCACCCTGATGTGCAGGTAGTGGCTAGGTCTGGGAGTCACAATAACAGACTCTGCACCTTAATCTCCTTGCATTCCTACTTCTAATCTCACCTCTTTCCAGGCAATTAAAAGTTTAGGATGAAGTTTTCCCATTAGCCCCTTTCTACAACTGCAATCTTTCTTCTCCATCCTGAATCACTTCAGGTCCTTTGAAATCCCAAATGACTCGTGGGTGCCCACTGAACAATACTCTTCTGCAATTTAGTCTCATCTCTTTTTGTTCAACCTTCCTTTCTAACCCCAAGTTTTGTGAACTTGCACTGGCAGACTCAGAAAATTAAATATGAATGTGTTCTTTTATATGAGAAACTTAAACTATAAATGAATAAAATAAAGGACAGTTGATAGGAAATAAGGTGATAAACTTTTGGAGATGGAGAAGGGGATGGAGGAGGAAAGAGAGAGGGGGTAATAGGATTATAAATGTTCAAGATATGCTATATGCATGTATCAATTTCCCAAAATGAACCCCACTATTCTGTATTGCTACCAGGCATCAATTAAAAGATGTTTAAAGAAACAACAGAAAACTTGACCCAGCAAGTCCACGGCCTTTGCTCTTCTCCACACATGTGAATCACTTCCCTCCACTCAGAATGTCTTTGCCCTCTCCTTTCCCTGTCAGTGCTCTTTATTCAGTGATTACCACTCCTATCTTCTCATTAGTAACCAGTACTGCAAAATGGAACTCTAAAAGTGAGGGGGGTTTCCCCCTTTAGAAAAAAGTGACTTCCCGAGGCCTAGAGCATGAACAGCTTCCCCCACCTCTCTTCAGCAGAGGAATAAATAAAATATTCAGATACTGATGCCAGGAAGCCTAGAGCCCAGTTTCTTTTTCCACAGTTTGCTGAAGTTGGCTAAAAGTGACAAAGAAGTGTGAAGCTCTGCATTATCATTCTGCCCTCCCCTGCCCTCTGTTCACTGTAAAAGACCCTTGCCCACCTGCACATGGGGAGATGGTGATTTGAAGCAAAGAGGCTCCTCTGTGTCTTCTGAATAAGGCAGCTTCAAATACATCCTTTCCCCTTTTACCAGAATATATAGCCTCTTTGATTTGGTAAACAGCAAGCTGATGAACCTGAACACAAGAGCTTAAGAGGGCAATATAAGGAAAAGTTCAAAAGACATCTTCCCATGAGTTCTGACCTTTCCCCACATTGTTTCAGCCTTATAAAAATATCAATAACCCTAATTACATGGCCTGACCTAAGTCTTGTTTATGAGACAGACCATTACAGACCAAGAGGCACTTCACTTCAGAAGAACAGGGACCCTTACACAAATACAGAATGGACCAGTGACCACAGATTAAGATACCTGCCCTAATCCCAGAATAGTTTCCAGCTTCCTCATTCTCTGCTACCCCATTTAAATCCCATACCTGAGAGTTGCTGCTCAGGAATTTTGGAGCCAGAGCTGGTGGCCCCTTTCAGGTCTTTATCGTAAATAAACTGTCCTTGCTGCAAGTTTTTGTCTCTCTTATCTTTATTTTTTACAGCCAGTAACATATTTAGCCCCTTCACCTGTTGTAATGACATCTTTGTGCAAGCAGAAGCCCAAATTCCTGCCTCACCTACTTGCCTTTATATACACAGTCACCTTCAAGTCTGGCTGGCTCTTGCTTCCACCTGTTCACTCACATCCCTGGCACCTGCATAGCATTCTCTCAAAATGTCAGTTATTTCTGGAAGTTCTGGGAGGCAGGGGATCCCACACATGCTTGAGCTGCCCTGTGCCACAGCTCTGACTTGTGTCCTAGGGACAAAATAATTGTGATGTGCAGACAGGGCTGGAGTTTGGTCCACTCCCTTTCTTTGACACTAGTACCAAAGTTGCAGCAGAGCCCATCTCAGTGAGGTGGAGTATTGCCTCCCCAAAAGCCCAGCTTGACCTGTCTAGAGATCCTGAGGAGCTAGCCAGAGCACTCTCTCCACTCCGAGCCTCTTCAGTTTATAGTCTACTCTGCAAAGCTCTCAGATACCTTTGCCCTCCTTCTGAGACCCTCAAGGGACATTTTCCAAGGGAATTTAATTTGTAATTTTCCTCACAAGACAGGATGTGACGGAGACTTCCTCGTTTTGTTCTGTCTATCTTGGTGTTTATAGCAAAGAGCAGAGCCAACAGCTGGAAGGTGGGAAATAATTCTGTCAGAAATGAACTGTTTCCCTGAACTTAGCTGCCAGACCATGTCTAACAATCTTAGCATCAAGGACTAAGATACTTCACAATAATCATTACCATTTTGCACAGGAGGTGAGATCATCTGGACTCATCTGTTTTTTGGACCTTTTAATGCTACATGAAAGGTACGTGGCTTATCCTCAACACTTGGCTAAGCCTCCCTGTTTCAGAAATGGAGAGCAGGAAATGGTGGTGGGAAGAGCTTTTCAGTGTGGCTAAGAGGAGATTCCCTTAGGCAGACCCTGTCCATGCTGCAGGTTTCTGAGGTGTCCCATTTCCCTCTCAAATGAGGTCCTTTTCTTTCTCCCCTCCCTCCCCCCTTTTTCCTTTCCCTCTCCCTCCTTCTTCCTCTCCCTTCTTCTCCCTTTCCCCCTCCTCCTCTTCTCCTCCTCCTCCTGCTCCTCCTCCTCCCCCTGCTCCTCTGTCTTCTTGTTTCCTCCTCTCCTTCTGGTACTGCAAATTGAACCCAGGGCCTCTACATCCCCATTTATGTATGTATGTATGTATTTGATTTTGTGACAAGGTCTCAAAATTTTAAGTTACTCATGCTTGGCTTGAACTTGTGATCCTCCCACCTCAGCTTGGTTGTGCCACCACACCCAGTCAAGGTTTCTTCCCAAGGTGATTCAATTCCCTTAGAGACCAAGAGAATGAAAATCCTCTCATGAATCTACTGAAAGCAAAACAATGCATACCTGTAGGAAAGAACTAGTGAGTGCTGGGGACAAAGCATTGCAGTAGGTGCTGGAGAGGTGAAGCATGAGAGAATATAAAGCCTCATCTATCCTGGGGGCTTTTGGCACAGAATATGAGAATAGAAGAGAGGCAAGACACACCACTGACACAGTTTGCAAAAGCAGCAAAGCAAAACAAAATATAAAGAGACTCAAGAGTGGAGGGACTGGAAGTTGAAAGAACAACGCTTGTGGTGTTGAGGAATTAGAGACCAAGGGAAAGCAAGAATAGGGCTAGAAGCAAGGATAGTGAGAGGGAAAGGAGAGAAGAAAGAGGAGAAGGAAGGAGAGGACTGGCTTTGCATGGGTGGAGGGTGGCAGAATTTCCTCAGCACCAGTGAGCAGGAGCCCTCATCCCTTTTATCTCCAGCTTGGAGCAGCCCAAAGGCTCCTAAGATAGTAAAGAGAATGCACCCCACCAGCACAGCTTAGCTCAGTCTGAGGCCCCTTCCTGGCCGTTTTCCCTTCACTTGGTTCTCTGTCTTCCCCAAATAGCCAACATGTCCATCCTCTTCTATTCCTTCCCTCAGCAAGACCTTGTCACGAGGACCAGAATCTAAAATCCATTTCAGCCATGGTGCACAGAGATGAAATTGGAAAATATTCCTTTCCAGAATTGCATGCACTTCAGTCAGGATCAGAGACTGACACTGCAGAGTGAGGTCAGAAAGGGCAGGCTTCGGGCAGCAGGTGGGGCGAGGGTGTTGTTTCAGCCTGGGGAAGTGCTGCTGGGGCCCTCTGACAACCCGACCCTGACTTCCCTTCCAGAAGCTGTCAGACCACTTTCCTCCCAAGGAAAGGCTTTCAAGGCCATGTCTTTGGGCATCAAACAAAGGGACACAGCACAGGTGCCTCCGGTCTATGCAGATATTTTTGATAAAATCTTAGGGAGCCTCTGGTTTGTTTTATCGGATAGTGGTGATATAGCAGATAAAATATGAAAACTTTATATCTCCCAATCTGTTAAATGTCTGATACTCCAATTGCGTGTTCTCTAAAATCACAGAATGAATTCTTGGAAAAACAGTAGAAAAATATTTATTGAGAAGGTAGCCTCTGAGAGGCAGGAGGGGACCAGAATGAGTAGCCGGAGATCCCACTATAAAGTTTTAGAGAGCACAACCGTGTGAGTAAAATGTGGGTTCAAGCTATAATCAACCAATACGTTTACAAGTATAGTTGCTTGGGTAATCGTGATCCAACGGGGAAGCAAGTCATGTAGCAAAAGTACGTGGAAAGAACAAAGAACTTCTCAGGCAGGGGATGGATCACCCACTGAGGCGACTGATGCCTATCTGGATTTTACTAGACCAGGTGTTATCGTTTATCTCATCCCTTAGGGAAGTATGCAGGGCTGGTTCTTTTATGGATATCTTGAGGCTTGGCCTCCAACTGATGTGTATCTGGCCCAGTTGAAGTGTGTTTTCACCTTTTGTCCTGACTCTCTCCAGGGCTCAGCCCTGTCTGACTGCCTATTGTATTTCTATCTAACTTAGCTGTCTATAATAATGGGATTTTAAACTTTGCATTCACTGGTTGGTTGGTTTTTGTGGCTGATACCTTATGACTCCATCTCTTCTGTAATGCATGGTGAGATGGCTGCTCAGGGTGAGTACTGCAATTTGTGGCTTGGAGGTTCCTAAGGGCAGTCGTGGTTTCAGGCTGCAGATGTGACCAAAGGGTGTCCCCAGACCTGACGTACAAAGTAGTTGGCAAGAATCTGTGTTGAAAGAAATATAGAACAAGGTTCTGGAAGCAGACAGCTCAGGAGGTGAAACTCTCACTTTGCCAGCCACACTAGCTGTGTGTGGAGGGGCAAGGCCCTCAGCCTCTGTTCCTGTTTCCTTATTTGTAATTTGGATTTATTAGCAATATAGTAATAACATTTGTGGTATGGGTAAATGCTTGGTAGGTAGGAAGTGCTTGATTTGAGTTAGTTTGTGTTAATGTGACATATGTACCTGTGTGTGTGCACATCTGTATGTATAATCTCTTCCACAGCCTCTGTGGTGGAAATCATATGGGTGTATCACAACAGAGAGCTGAGGTTCCTCCAGCTAGTCCACAATTCTTGAACACACTGCCTGAGCCCCTTAGCCCCCTGAGGTATGTAGCCTCCCTGACTAAGGTAATTAGAGCAAGTGCTTATTCTGTGAAGCTGCCCTGACCCTAGCTCTGGAGTCTGTCTAATGCCCCATCACCTCTTCGTAGGAGAACCCATGTCATGTCACCACCTGATACAAGCCTTGATTCTCTCCTTAGAATCTAGCCCAACATAAGGGATCCCTATGCAGTCTAGGACCCTACTGCTTTGTAAGGTATTAGCTGGATGCTAATATGCCTCTCATGGGTCTGCCCTCATGCAACCCTAATCTATGTCTAGTGTCCAGACAAAAGACAAAAGCACAAAAGGGAAGAAGGGACTAAGGAGGAGGAGGAGAAAACATAAAAACCAGTATATATGCTGCTCCCTCCCTTCCAGGTTCAAAGCCTGTCACAGACACATTCCTGCCATAAGCCACACAGGGGAAGAGGTCAGACTGTCCAACCAGAGCCTTGATCCCTGCCCAAGACCTCTGTTGATGCCACTTATTGAGTGAATAATGATTTCCATGACTTCCAGCCATCAAAACAGCCAGGTCCCTGCAGAGTGGACTCTGATCTCTTCCTTTGAGGAATCCATCTGATGCGTAAATGCAGTCACCTCAATTTGCTCCTCTACTTTCCCCCACACCCCAACTTACCTAGCCCACTTACCTCTCAGGCCATTGCTCTCCTTCCCATTGTATTCCTGTTAGCCAGAGTCTTTCCCAACTCAGAGAGCCCTTCTAATATCCCCCTCTCACAGCTCTGATTGTTGCATGACCCCATGGCTTCTAAATTCCTTATCAGTGACATTGCAGACAGTATGGCTAGGGCTCTGCTGCCACAGGACACAAGAACTTGTGCCACACCAAGGGTTTGCAGCAGGAAAACCAAGCAGAGGGGAAGATGGTGGCAGAATGCAGAAGAGGAAACCACGGGGAGTGGAGAATAGAAACACACTGTAGACCTTCTCCTGTGTGATGGAGTGAAGGAGAAAGAGGTGTCGTTGGAAGATGGAGAATAGATATGTGAAAGGTAGAGGGAAAAGGAGGTGCTAACTTTTATTTAAAGAGCATCTAGCCAAAGCTGTGGGAGGCTTAACAACCTTCCAACTTGGCATTGATTTCTTCCATTGTTAAGCAAACAGGCTAAAGTTCATTCAGTTACAAAATTTGCCTAAAATCTCACAACTTAAATGGATGGGAAATACAGAGAGTCTTGTATGAATCCAAGTACTTGTAAGCCACACCATGTTTGCTGGCCACCAGACTGTGAGATATTACCACAGGACCCAAGGGGACATTAGTTAGAGAGGAGAATACTTATATGGGCTGCAGCTGAGTGTCCAAGGATGGGGAAATTGTGGCCAGATAGGATGACTCCATCATTGGGGCTGCTACAAACACAGGAAAGTGGCCAGCTCACCCACTTGGAAGCAACACCTAAGGCCACAGGCCTGAATAAATGGTGTCCCAGAAGGCTGCTGGAGTTGGCAGACAGCCACCAGGCACACACTTCATTTTGGAAGCAGCAGAACTATTTGTTCCTCTCTTTTGTGAACATGATGTTCTAGGTCAAAAGAGAAGTGAGAGCAAGTTTGGATCAGTAGTGGTGAGAAAGAAATTTTGCAGAAATTTATTTTTGTTTGGAGAATGTCCCTAACTCCGGAGGTGGGTGGTGCTGAGCCATGACAATGTATGGCTCTATTGCTGGATCTAAACAATGTGCAGCTCAGAGGCCCCTTTCTCTGGGGCCTTCCAGCCCCATCCACCTGCAGCTTCATCAGTTTGAATAAGGCCAATGAGGCTATTAAGAGTGCTGCCTGGTAAAATTAGAAGCAGCTCACAGCATAAAAGGAGGCAGGTCCTGGGACTGCTGTAAGGAACTCAAGAATCAGAAAAACTTATCAAGACTTGATGGGGTGCGTTCAGATGCCCTGTCATCCATCATCTCTTTGTCCCCTTCCAGGTGGCTCTCACTGCTGACAAGAGATGGCAAACTTCTTAGTATCCATGGAATTTTTGAAGCGAGTACCTTTACCCAGCAGTCTCTTGATCCTCACCCAACTTCTCCTCTTCCTTCAGCTTGGGAAGGCAGACTCAGGTAGTGCATCTTACCTCAATCATCTGCAGCCCAGTCATTCAGGACTGAGCATCCCTCCTACCATGTGCCCCTTACTCCATAAAGGCTGAGATATGATGACACTGGACTGTGCCTTGCTAGTTGCTAAAATTCACAGATTTCCATCCCAGTGGTTAAAAAGCCACTGCTGTGAGCCTATGCAGTCTGTTCTGCTCATCCATCATTTTGCCAGTCCTAGCACACTTCCCAGGACCTTGAAGTCCACAGGCATAACAGAGAGCATAATAGGAGGGTTCCAGGAAACTTCTTAGTCTGTGTTTGCATTGAACCAGCTGGTAAATATTTAAATGTGACGTTTATGCAGAGCTTTGCAAGATTAACATTCTCTAGGAAGACAACTGGTGGAGGATAATCTGAAGCAGAGTGTATCCAGGGAGACAGCCAGACACCAGATGTGTGGGAAAGACAGCTGGAGAGACCTGGGAAAGGAAGATAGTAAGAAAGTGTTGAGGATTCACCTAGTGGGCAACAAGTTGTCTCAAATGGCACAAAGAAAGACAGCTCCATGATCTGTAGGCAAAGTGAAGGGACCTATGGTGGCTGAACTGTGGGAGGAGATTTTAGGTGAAGCTGAAAAGAAGGAAACAGACTATTTTGGAGAGAGCAGAAGGACCACACGAAGACACCATGGAAGGAGAGAATGACCAAATGAGGGATCAAGATCAATCAGAATTTGGTTGGCCTTTACCTATGAAAACCCAGGAAGCAAGGAGCATATACATTATTTTATATATTTTTCTTGCTTTTATAGAATGTGTATATATGTATCATCTTAAAAATTGGAGGGCCGAGATTTAGCTCAGTGGCACAGTGTCTGCCTGGTGAGTATGAAGTCCTGAGTTCAATCCCCGGTACCAGAATAAAAAAATTGGAAAAGCAAAGAAAGAAAAATAAGAAAACACCTATCCCCATCATGCAGAAATGCCCACCATCAACAATTTGGTGTCTCTCCTATTAGATCTCTTTCTCAGGGCATCTATACAAATACGTAATTTTTACTCAATTACATCGTGTACATTTTATTTTTGAGATTTAGTCTTTTTGGTTCATTATTACATTTAATTTATTTCCTTGACCATAACTTTCCACAAAATAACTCGTGCACTCTGGTTGATTCAAACCAATAACCAGTCTAGGACCACAGACTGTCCACTGGCCATCATGTCCCATGTGTATTTTAACCTGTTTTTCATGGTAGCTTTTTGTTCAAGAAACCAGGCCTGTTTTCCTTGTAGAGTGTGTTATCTTCATCATTTGAATGCCTTATTGTAGACTTCTGACCTGGAAAAGGGTATGATAAAAAATTGTATTTGAAAAGAGATTGATTGTGGCTGTGGTTCTGGCTTTGTCATCCTAGAGGTCAAAGTGGTAGGGCCTGGGGAGTCCATGCTGGCCCTCGTTGGGGAAGAGGTGGAGTTCTCATGCCACTTGTCTCAGTACATGGATGTGGAGCACATGGAAATCCTCTGGTTCCGGGGCCAGACCTCAGATGTGGTGCATCTGTACCAGGATGGGCAGGAGCTCTTCGGAGGGCAGATGGTGCAGTTCCAGAACAGGACCAAACTCCTTACAGACGAGATGGCCATTGGGAGTGTGATCCTGCAGCTCCACAATGTGGTGCCCTCTGACCAGGGTCCATATGGGTGTAGCTTCCTCTCCAGCAGCTTCTCTGGAGAAGCCATCTGGGAGCTGGAGGTAGCAGGTAGGTCAAGGAAAAGGATCAGTTTCCTAAGAGCTGCTTTTCTCAGGTAGATATAGAATCATGGGAAATATCCCTAATTTTAAATAAGGTTGTTAAAAAATGAAAGGATTAGTCCATCTGCAAAAGAACAAAACAGTTCACACACACACACACACAAATACACTGTAACTCTTCAACATGAAGATGATAATTACTAATTATAATGAGAGAAAGGCAAATTACATCTACATCAAACTGTAAATTTTTACCTTTCAAACTGGAGGAAATTCAAAAGTTCCATGATACTCTTTCGGTGGCTCTTGGGAAAGTGGTTTTCACCTATCTGGCTGGTGGATTTCAGTCAGGAAGCTCCAGACCATGGAGCCTAACAGGATTCTCTGTCTACCTTCCTTAGATACAACAATCCCACCTCCAGAAATTTACCTTGAAGATACATCTCTGTAGCTTCCATTATGTATCAGTCTAATCTGTGTAGTGTTACTTCTAATTCCAAAAGAGTGGAAATTGTCCATGCATAGGAGCTCCATACGGTCCAGCCACATAATGAGTGTTGGAAATAAGCCCCCAGACTCAAATTGTTGGTACACTTAGACATCAAGAAATCTCAACAAGGCATTTTATTTCTGCAGAAGGTGCAAGCCTGAGGTAGCAGAAGCACAGGACAGAGGAGGGTTGCCCCTTTTATCCCTGATGCAGGAGAAGCAGCTGACTTTTAAATTCATTGGCTGAATTCAAAGTCTATCATGGCTGACTAACTCAAGTGGTGCAAGGTAGGGTGGGGTGGGGGTTGGTGTATTGCTGAGTCAATGAGAGAGAGGGCATGAGGTGTGGACAGTTCCTGGTTCTTTATCTTGAAAACCAGCTGTGTTCTGAAAAAGGTGCATAGTCATCATCTCTTGCAGCTCAGGATATCAACGAGGTTGGGGTGGATGTGGATGGTGAGTAGATAGATGGTCCTGTCATTTAAACCCCAAATGGAGTTGCTTTGATAGAAAAGACAAAGCCTGTTTCTTACATGGGTGATCCGTACTCTGTAGCTAGAAAAGTGAAAAGTAGTTCAATGAATAGCTGTGGAGTGATTCCTAAGATGTATTACAGAAAGAACAAAATCAAGATGCATAAGAGATTTGGTAATGTTTTGAATTTTTGTATGCAGGAAAAAACAAACATTGAAAAGAACAACAAGTGAGAATATATTAGAAACTAATGAAATTGGTGACTTAAGGATGAGGGGAGATAGTAGAATAAAAAAGGATGGAGAGAGGCTAGGGATATACATTTTATATAGCATTGACTCTTTTTTTTTTTTTGAACCTAGGGCCTTCACATTCATCTATATTCCTAGGCCTTTTTTGTTTTTTAATTTTTTGAGACAAGGCCTTGTTAAGTCACTAAGTTGTCCTGGGTGGGATTGAACTTGGGATCCTTTTGCCTCAGCCTCCCAGAATGCTGTGATTATAGGGATGTGCTACCACACTTGGCTCATGATTGAAAATGAGATCATATTAATGTTTTGCATATACAAAACATATGACTGGGGATGTAGCTCAGTGGTAGAGTACTTTGCAAAGGCCTAGGTTCAAAGAGAGAGAGCGAGAGCAAGAGAGAAAGAGAGAGAGAGAGAATTCTCTTCATGAGAATGGGGGAGGCAAAGAATATATAAAATGCAAGAATTTGAGCTTTAGTGAGAATCAAGAAAGAGAGGCAACCTATTGAATTTGGAGTGAGATAATTCTTTCCAGGGAACTGTCCCTTGCATAATATAACTAAATGCCAGTAGTCTTCTTCCACCAAATACCTTCCTCTCCGAATTTCCAAATGTCCCCACAAGGTAATATGGCACTGTTCTATCAATACATGCCACTGCAATCTAGACAGTCATTTGATGTTGATGAGGAGGGCACTGTAAGTCCACACATACGTTATGCACAGTTGCATTTCCTGGTGTCTTATGATGACTGCAAATGGTGAACAGTATGTTGTAGACTTCATGTACAATTTCTGGGAAGGAGTCTGCTCTTTCTCACTGTTTTTACATTTCCCAGGGCTGGGTTCAGACCCTCATATCTCCCTTGAGGGCTTCAAGGAAGGAGGCATTCAGCTGAGATGTAGCTCCAGTGGCTGGTACCCAAAGCCCCAGGCTCTGTGGAGAGGCCATCAGGGACAGTGCTTGCCTCCAGAGACTGAAGCCATCGTCCAGGATGTGCAGGGCCTGTTCCATCTGGAAACATCTGTGGTTGTCCAAGGGAGAGCCCACAGGAATGTGTCCTGCTCCATCCAGAACCCCCTGCTGATCCAGAAGAAAGAGTTTGTGGTCCAGATAGCAGGTCAGTTGGATGCTCACTCACCCTTGCATTCTTTAGCATCGAGTTCTTCATGTACCTTGACCCAAAGGTAGTCTATAAGGACACAGTGGTACTGAGGCCTGTCTGAGTAAGAGGTGAGTTGGCCTTGATACCTGAAAAGTCAGCAACTTGGACATCAGGAACTCATTGTGAGTGCAGCTGACTATCTAAACAGTAAGTAGGCAAGGCCTCAGGGTCATCATTTCTGTGCAAAAGGCCATGCAGCAGAACCCATAAACTACTGGTCAGAGAGCATTAGTAGAGGTACATATTCCTAATTTCATCCTTCAGTAATTTAAGGAACACCTACAACATGCCCCGAACTCTTACCCTCATTTTCCCATTCTTGTGGGGAAGGCAGATAACAATGTAAGTAAATCACATCATAAATCAGAAGATGGAAGATGCTAAAAAATTAAGGAAGGGGGGCAGAAGTGGTGGTGGGGTCTCTCTATGAACTGTAAAAACATAACTTGGGGAAGTTGATGTTTAGGCAATGAATTGAAATTTAGGTCATTATTTAGTTTCAAAATCTTACATGAGGGCCAAGGATTTTAGCTCAGGGGCACAGCACCTGCCTGGCAATGCCTGGCAAGCATGAGGTCCTGAGTTCGAT